AGAGAGAGAGAGAGAGAGAGAGAGAGAGAGAGAGAGAGAGAGAGAGAGAGAGAGAGAGAGAGAGAGAGAGATGTATCCTAAGGATGTGTTGAGCTCTCGCAAAATTGGTTCTGCCACTGCTCGCCCAGGGCCCAAAATGTTTTCAGTGTGCTACGCAGCATGTCTTTGATGTGACAGCCTGTCTTCCACCTCATGTTGCTTGTGGTTGAGCACACTCCGTGGTCACCAGCTTCCCACATCCCCGTGTGCCATAACGGCCCACTTGCATGTTATGAAAGGAGAAAGAGTAAGGGGGGAGGTATACAGATTATATTTTGTCTGTTCTCCAAATGATTCTCATCCGCATGAGTTCACAAGTAGCACAGAAGGGGAGGGAGGAAGGAAAGGGGTAGGGTGTGGAGCTCTATAGGAAACGAGCGGTGGGGGACGGAGAAGGGGGAGAGAGAGGAGGGAAGTGGAGGGGCAAAGAACGGAACAGAGGAGAGACAAACTGAGGGTTCCCAATACTCACCGCCGGAGCAGACTACTCTAGAATGGCACAAGAGGCCAGTCAGTGTTTGGGTTGCAGGACATTCTGAGTTGAGGAGCAGTCGTTGCGTATGGTAAGTGGCCACCCCTACAGAATGGACAGGACCGGTTCGGGTGTGGACTGTGGAAGCACCGCATCCAATTCTCACACTGGCAGTTCCTGCACCGAATGGCACAGCGTAGACAGGTGTCACAGGCTACGTGGCTCCTACATGCTACGTACACAGAAGCACGCCGACCGCATGTGCACAGGCATCGCCGTTCCAGCCCCTGTCTACAAATTGGACAGGACATGTCAGAGTGCCGTACATGAGTGAGTGCAATGTTGACTGTCATCATACGTATGAAAACAAAAACTTGCATGGGCTATGCCTTCATAATCCTCACCACACAAAGCATGCAAATCACATGCTAGCCGGATCTCAGCTGGGCCATCACAGAGCGGCATCGAGCAAGTTTATTGGGTTTCCGCAGTCATTATTACCTCTCTTTGCACAGACGACGACGGGGCCGGATCCAACGGACGGGTGTTTAGCTGTTGCAAGATTTGTTCAGCAACGTCTCATGCTGGCGGTGATAACCTTTCAGTGCAGTGCATCGTTGGTGGTGATAACCTTTCAGTGCAGTGCATCGTAGGTGGTTCATGTGAGAGTCTATTTTCCACCTTAGGGTGCTGTGCCTGTTATTCATCTCGCAAGGATGATGGAGATCCAACTGCGGCTGCAGTAGAAGTATGCCCAACCCTGCATGCGGGGCATGACAGGAGAGCATGTGGTGGTTGATGACAGAGGGGGTAGTCCACAAGGTAGAGACACATACTTTCAATGACAGCTTCCTGGAAACATTGACAATACATGGCATGTTGCTGACATGCCAGCAGGAAGGCCGGCTGACGTTCGCAGCCATTTAAGCACGGCACGTCAAGGCCACAACGGCATATCGAGCAAGTAATAAGGGGTTGAGGGGAATGAGTGCAAGACAACGGATCACAGTTTTCAAGGCAGAGGCTGGCAGTGACCATCCCTTCATAGTGTTTGGAGCAGAGATTATGTTCTGTGCATGACACTGGCCAGGCCTACCTGCATGACACAGATGATCACGCAGACTCTGTTACTCCACCCCCTGAGCACCACCCCAATCGGCCGTGCTCCACTACTCAATATCCGTCACATTGCTTCTTCGGCCAGATACATTCGTACTGATCCAACATATTTTCAATGTATTGGGACCCGTACCGGCTCCACATACATTAGAATATTGGAGCCAGGAGTCAAGCTGATCACCAACATACAACAGGACATCATCAGACCTGATCAGTCATACACTGAGCATAATCATAATGGGCCATGCTCTAGTACCCGAACATTTGACATGTATCAGGACTGTTGTATCAACCAGACACATCCAGACGGATCAAACATATTTTGAATGTATCGGGATTCGGGACCCTTACCAGCCCTAGATACGTACCAGAGTGAGGACCAACGTCATTTGGCTGATCACTAAGATATATAAAGACATCATCAGATCCAATCCGATTAGTCGTACACTCTAAGCATGGTAACTACCTCTGCAGGTCAGCAACTGAGACAACTGATATACTCATCCAGCTACCGTCTTCCCTGGAATAGAACATATGGTCATTATTGCTGCATCAAGACCGAAAGTTGCACCACATACAGCTATAATGACCGTACGTTCCGTTCAGGGGAAGGTGGTACCTTCCTGCTGTTCGTGACTGTTTCCTAAGTGACCGTAGGTGCATACAAGAGATTGGTTAGACTGTCCTTGGATATGTTATTTTGAACCTACTGATGCAGTTTCGGCGCGATGGAGGGAGAAAGTTCAAAAAACAAAAAAAGGCGAGAACAGTTGATTGGTTCTGAACAGACGCAGGCGATAACCACAAAAGCTGGCAGGTAACGCACCATAGCCTCCACATCCGAGAAGGACGGCACGTCGCCATCACTCTCCAATTCATCTGACGTTCTATCATCCTTGTTCTCTCCTTTCATGGATTGGTTCGATATGCGTTGTCCGTCTCCAGCTGCGGAATCTCCAATTGTACCTTTACACGCCATCCCTCCACCTCGTGAGGTGCAGCCGCCTCCATTCGTGATCGATCCACCTGCTGCTACGATAGCGTGATGGGCGGCACTGTTGCCGCCACCTTCGGGTGCATCTGTGGGGTTGATATACTGCGCTGTGGCAGTCGGTGCTTCTGGCTGGGGTTGGGAAGTGGCACGATCTGCAAGACAAGCCGCACCGCTCTGGTTGCCTCGGAAACGATTGGCTCCCGGAATTGCCACCATGCCAGGTTCCTCTTGGATGATAGATCCAATGAGAGGTGGTAGCAGAGGCTTGCACATGCCGAGGTGCTGCAGCGAGACACCATCGCCCGTGGCTGTCGTTTGTGAGTTCCGTACCATGTCACTGCTGCAGCTTGATGCAAAGAGCGCCTTCGCACCACCATTTGTGTGACATACTGCTACTGTTGTGGTGCTCCCACAGGCAGGGCCCCCTGGCATGGCAACTTCACCCAAACTCTGTATAGGTCCAGAGTCGACATCATTCAACATAGTCGTCTGCAGCCCGCAGGTTTGCCTGAGGCCTCGCACACTGGTCGGGTCACTTACGATTGACGCCAAGTTCATGTTCATGATCGAGTTGATTTCTGGCACGATACCCTCTACATGCTTCCTGATCCCAGGTTTTGCTTCAGCACTCACTGAGGACGAGGCAGGTCCGCGCGTTATGTAAGCACTGCCCGTCTCTACTTGGGATGCAAAGGACGCGGAATTTCTCGAACTGCTAGCTGCCAAGTTCGACGACTGCGGTGTGGCAAGGACTGACGAGAGATGCCGCATTTCTGGAACAGAATCAGTAGCGACGTGTTCGTCCAAATCGGTGGCCAGAAGATCAAGACACCCATCGGGACTGGCGATAACAAGGTCGTCTGAAAAATTTCCTGACTCAGATGCCAGGTGGCTCATCATCATGACACTGCCGAGGCCGTCATCTGCAGCAGGAGGAGGAGGAGGAGGAGGAATCTCTTCTTCTGCAATGGGCTCTTTCTTCACCTTGACAATTTTCATTGTCATCACCTGCCCACTTCCTCCGCCACACTTCCCCTGAGACGCCTCCGCTGAGTCCCCCTGCTGCGATCGGACGAGTCCTTCGTTCCATTCGTGCGCTTTCACAATTCCCTTCCCGTCTTCCTGCCCAGTCAACGTCTTCTCCACCATCGCATCCTCCTTCGATCCTGGGCATACCATGAGCTTCGGTGGTTTTTCTTCTTCGCTGCCATCTCCAATCAGTGTCATTGAATTGTTTGTAACTGTCCCACGTAATACCGGTTCCCGCAAAGGAGAAGGCTCATGAACCTGCTTCCGTACTTCTCCTAGCTGCTCGTTTCGAAAGGCACCATCCGGCACTCGCACCTCGGCAACCTGTGCTGGGTTTCCATAGCTGCCTTTGTCGAAAGCACTACCATCTTCTGACAGTCGCATACTTCTCGATTCAACAGCGACCAGCCCTGTGTTCTCCCGATGCGGTGCGCCCTCTGCCATGCTCATGTTCAAAGCGGTGCTTTGTTGTCTAGGGCTGCCAGTTGTTTCCAATGCAGCCATGGGCACGTGACGGTTTCTTTCAAGAACCTTATGGTTGCCGCTGCGTGTTGAAATTTCTGGAACGTTTTTTGACCCTGTCATTCGAGAGGGTTCAATTACCAGAAGCATAGCAGCAGAAGGGGCATCAACGCTGACAGCTCGTTTTCCACCTTCTACGTTGTTACCATCCCCCGTCTTTGCCACGGCAGAGGCACGATCGCCTTCCACCACAGCCTGATCCAATGAACAGAGTGGGGATTTGTTGCTAGAGACTGCGCTGGCAGTCGTTTTCGACTCTATCCGTGAACGTTTTCCTTCATCTGGAAGGAACGACGAGCCGTCAATTTGCTCACGAACCTCGCCCTTTGCCTCCAGATCCATGCCCAATGTAACTCTCCCTGCGTGATCGCCACTGTCTGCCAGCTTCTGATTCCTGGCAGCAGACTGACCAACCTCAGAAGAAGAAATACCGGGTACATCTTCTTCGTCTTCTTCGACATTCGGTATGTCGACGTTCAGAAACAGTTCAACTTCCCTTCTCTCGTCTGCCTGCTCCATGTATTTTTCCATTTCCTCCCCTCTGTTCTGTGCGGCCGTCCCCTTCTCTTTGCCAACGACAAGAACACCCTGTTTGCTCCGGACATCCTTCATCGCAGGACACTGGTCATTTCTGATCTTTGAAGAAAGCTTCTCCGCGACACAGTCGTTTGTGTTTCCCAGACCCAGAGACTCCCGGCCGTTTATCAGAGTGGCTGCAGGTGCACACCACCCACCAAGAACCTCTCCACCCTCCTCTTTCACCATAACCAACGCTGCCTCCTCCTCGCTGCCGCCAACCATCCCTCCTTCTGGGAATTCGCTTACTCTCGTGTCCATGGCCGCAACAAGAAACTCTGCTTCTGCCGCCTGCTCCTCCTCAGTTTTCAAATATTCCCCCGCCATGCTCGGAATTCCTATCACAGGCATCATCCCTCCCGCTCCCGCTCCCGCTCCTGCAGCGTGATGGTTCATCTGATGGTCATCCTGCAAACCAGAAGGTAGCAGCAAACTCTCCCCTCCCTCTCCAATGTAGAAGCTCCCGCCATCATCCGATAACAGAGCAGCAGTTGGCACGACTCCGCTCATCGCCGCTCCCGGAAATCCCATAACTGTTCCCAGTCCAAACTGTCCTGCGGAGGCAAATGCAGTAGGCGCACCCGCCACTATAGGACATAGTCCCATCGGTCCACTTTCTGCTACGGACTGCATAACCCTCGTTGGAATGGATACTTCAGCTGAAGTATCAATTCCACTGGTAGCAAGCAAGCCAAACATCTCTGCCTCCTTCGCATTTTGCGGCAGCGACATCAGCAAGCTCAGGGCTGCCCCCTCGTCGCCACCCATCTCCATCAAGTCCCCCAAGGGAAGAGATCCGGCACCCAACAAACCTTCATCGTTCCTGGCAAGCCCTCCCCCACCTAGAAAATCGCTAATCATCATGCAACTCATATCGTCACCCCCAGCCCCGTTCACCGTCCCATTTGTGTTCCCAAGGACGCCTGCCAAGGCCATTTGGGCATGCTCCAAGCCTGCAAGAACAGCCGGCGAGCAGCCGATCGGTGCAGCGGCATTCAGTTGGGCCCCTCCCCCTGTTGCTCTTGCTTTCCAATTCTCTTCCTCCAACCGCTTTCGTTTCCACCTTCGATAATGCATCCTCACACTGCAAAAGGATTTCCCAAATTCCAATACTTTATCATACATGGTGAATTTTGTGAAATCACTTCAAATAACGAGTGCAGTGCACTGACGAAAATTCCATTTACCACCAGCCTATCTCGATGCTCAAGAGTCAAAACCAATTATAAAGAAAATAGAGAAAAGAATAACCAGCTCATCAATCAGTCCATTGAGCACTCAATCAATCATCAGCCTGAACTGCCAGCCACTCAATCAATAGGTCCATCAATCAGTCCATCAATCGGTCCATCAATCGGTCCATCAATCGGTCCATCAATTGGTCCATCAATCGGTCCATCATCTGTCTATCAACCCATCCATTGATTAGCCCAGCAATCAGTTCATTAATTAGTCCATTAACTAGTCCATTAATTAATCCATTAATTAGTCCATTGATTGGCCCATTAATCAGACCATCAATTAGTCCATCAATCAGTCAGTCAGTTCATTAATTAGCCAATCAACCAGCTCATTAACTAGCCAATCAATCAGTCCATTAATTAGTCCAGCAACCAGTCCAGCAACCATTCCTTTCATTAGCCTATCAATCAGTCCATTAATAATTAGTCCATCAATTAGCCCATCAATCAGTTCACCAATCCATCCATCAATCGCTTCATCAATCAGAGTATCAATCAGTCTGTTACTTAGCGCATCACTCAGCTGGTCCATTAGTTAGTCCATTAACTAGCCCATCACTCAGTCTATTAATTAGTTCATCAATTAGCCCATTAATCAGTTCATTAATCCATCCATCAATCGGTTCTTCAATTAAGAGTACCAATGCTCAAACAGAGCAAATGAATAAGTTGTTGTCTCAAACTCTTCGCATGTATATTATGCCGGATCAGATAGACTGGGATAAACACTAGCCAAATGTACCTACCGTCTTCCCCCGAACATACCGCACATCCGTTGTAATTCGAGTTTACAAAAGCTTCAAAAATTCGGATAGAATGCATGTGCATTGTATTTGAAAATAAGGGCTGTTTGAATGAAAGGCATATGCGATGTATTCGAATAAAAAGCAGTCTATGCATTGCATCGTTTACGTCACATATGCATTATGTTCGGGGGAAGAAGGTAGTGCATATAATAACTTTGTACATCAATCCACTAATAGGACGTCTAACCAGCTCAACTGGAAGCCACGCTAAATCCTGATCAGATCCAAAGACTACCACCCGACACTCATATGAGTTCGCTCTGGAGTATGAGAAAGACCGGCAGAAAGTCACTGACAAGATTAGACACGCCCAGTTCAAGATGGTGGGGCGAGCTAACGAGCATCGTAAACCCTCACGGTTCGCAGTACGTGATCAAGTATGGGTGAAGTCTAATTGAGTTTGTCCCTGAAGACGGGATTTCTCGAAAGGTGCTACCCATATACGAAGGACCACAGGAGGTTCTAGATGTCAAGTGGCACGTCGATGGCCCAACCTACACAGTAGATGTCCCCCCTCCATGTCCACACGTATCCAGTCTTCCATGCCTCAAAGCTGTTGCCGCCGTCTTCGCCCGGATAGCAAGTCCTTCACAGTAGATGTCCCCCCGCGTGAGGCTTAATATAGCTGCATTTGGGGCAACTTTCAGTCCAGATGCAGCGATAATGACTGGGTGTTCTATTCAGGTGAAGACGGTAGTGAACTCGGGCAAGTCCTTCCCTTCACGCAGACCAATGATCCCTCCGGACATGGATGGCAGCTACGACATTAACAACAGAAAAGGACAACCCAGTCGACAGATTAGAGTGCGATGGCGTAATCATGACCCAAAGGATAGGTGGTTCCGTTGTCGAGCGCATCGGCTCGCGCCTTTTTTCGCAAAAGGCGAGAGCCCTCCCGGCCACGCCACGCAGGAGTAGAAGAAAATATCAGAGCGGCGAGGCGATAACGCGACGGCGTCTGTCTCGGCAGCTCACGATTACTTACGCGTTATCTCCACATTATCTCCAAGTTGTCGGTGGGCCACCCTTGTGTAGGACGGAGCAAAACTTAGGTCTCTTTGATCGCACAGAGGACGGAGAAGATCAGCTTTGGCAGACCATTTCATCAAGTAAAAACTAATCAAGGTCAGCTCCGCGTCGGCATGGTGTTCATTCTTGCGTCGATCTCGTGCCGACCGAATACGAAATGTAATGATGTATTAAAAAAAAAAAGAATCGCATGGTTTCCCAGCAATATCTGTTTTGTCGGTGATATGGATGCGCGATTTTTTGTAAGACTATCTCTCTACATAGATATGTTTTTTATAGACTATGATCGATCTATCTTTAAGTTGTAAGTCTTTGTGATAATTTTCTTCAGGACTATGTCCAAGTGACTAGGATTAGTTGTGGGTTTTCATGCTTGGTAGAGACCGTCCTAGTCAACCGACGTTCGCTTCGTACTTGGAAGATCAGAGCCCTAGGGAACGAACGACGTCCAGGTTCCGTCGGCATTTCAACTGAGCGTGTCTATACTGCAGCGAACGAGCAAACGCCCTCGACTGACCTACTTCTGCGACTGCATGTAAAAGCTTTCGTACGTGGATCAGTAGCTCGGTAGGGATACGCCCCTAAGGGTGGTGACAGCCCCTAAGGGAAGGTAAGTTGTGCCTCACGTGAACCTGTCTTGTTGCAGGGGACCGCGAGAGGTATGGCTGGCGCTCTCGGCCAGAGCGGCAGGGCGATAACGCGACTACGTCCGTCTCGGCTGCTCGCGGGATTACTTACGCGTTGCCTCCAAGTTGTCTCACTATTATTTTCTTTTACTCTTGCATGATGTGGTCGGAAGGGCTCTCGCCTTTTGTGAAAAAGGTGCGAGTCGATGCGCTCGACACCACAGAGAGCAACTACATGAGACTGAGCCCCGCATTGTCTCACGCTATGAACAAGCACAAAAGATAATACATGAATTTGACAGGTATTTCTCCGAGGACCTTAAAATAACTCATTTGTGGTAATCTTGGTAGCATGACTGCAGGCTTAGACGGAGTGACACTGGATTGGGCGCACGATGAACTGGTTGTCAAAATTTTGGTCAGCAATTACAAGCTGGTCAATTTGAGCCACACTTCCCACCTTATCTTATCGCAAGTCCGAGAGACAAAATCGTACGGAAAGCCCTCACCGTTTAGGCCAGCAGGAGTGTCAGGATTCACGCGAACAGCGAGTGGTTATGAGTATGAGAGAGAAAGAGGAGAAGTTCGTTATCTGATTGGTTAATGCTTGGATGCACTCGAAATGAAAAAGGCGCGAGTGGGGGAGGTGAAGAATTAGTAAGTGAAGAAAAAAGCAGAGTGAGAAGAGGAGAACAGAGCGCTGGCGCTACAAATTCAGGCAGACAAACCCTCTTGTAACCGCGTGACAGTGAGATCCTACTACGGGTGAAGAAACTACCTACGGCTACCTTCTAGCGCCTGAGTGAGCGCTAGGAAGCAATTGAGCATACACTGAAAGGCGAGAGACCACTAGCATACACTGAAAGGCGAAGCGCAAGGCTTATTGAGATCGCAGCACATCAGGTTTATAGGCAGTTGCAGGTTGAGCGACAGAAGATCGCCAATCAAGCTCGCGTGCTTCGAGCATACAGTACCTGCCTGAGAAAGAAGAACTCAATACGAGAGCAAGACAGACTGGACTTTACCTGACTGACGCAACGAACGCCAGTTAGCTACGAGTGGGGCGGAAGTATGAGAATGCCTCATGCATTTCAATCATGAACGAGATAAGGCGTGTTCCGTATACTGAGAACGACTTGACAAGGACGGCAGGCTATTCTAAGGTTGAGTGTACCTGGCTTCGAATACAACCAGGTACGTAAGAACTTGTCGTTGAAGATAGGCTACCTGACGAGGGCAGAGAGGCGAACGCATGTTGGTAACCACCAAGCCAGGTGTCGCTAAGGGAAAGTATACGTACCTGATATTTGACGCAGCCAAGCTGTGTACTTCTACGGGAACAGGAAGAGGAGAGACAAGTGACTAGAGAGAGGGGCAGAACCTGAGGGAAAAGAAGAGTGCGTCGAGAGATGGGCAAGAAGAGGAAGTTAGAACGTTAAGGAGAGATCAATCTGGCGAGAACCTCCTGGTCATAAGCACAACCAGGAACATGCGGGATGACGAAGGGATATGACTCTACTCCGGTTGCATGTTCTCTTGAAACAATACCAGGACTAAGCTAGTTGATATGTGGGGAAGAGGGTAGACGGAGTGCCTGAGAGGAGAGCGGGAGGAGCAAGAACAAAGAATGAGCGAGAAGGGGGATCAACAGGGCGAGCCAGCGCGTCAAGAGGGAAAGAAGCCACCTCGTGAGAAAGATCAAGATCATCCGTATGTTGGCTAATGCGAACAGGAGGCTAAACAAGCGGTGGAACATGAGAGGAAACGAGACGTAGTGACTGAAGGCAAAGGTGTCGCAAAACAGGAAGAGAGTGATCGACGGCCAAAGAAAGAAAGATTTATCCTGACACGAGAACGAGGAACGTCAACATGAGTTCGCACAGTCGAACAGTTTCATAACAGCCGCGTTGAACGAAAGGGACTTGTGGTATGATGTGAGGGGACTATCGCTGGGATAACTGTGGAAACTCTTCGGCCCGCTTGATGTCCAAGACACTTTCGATCACGAATATGAACCTTCTTGCACGAACCACCTACGCGGAACTGGTAAGCCAAACAAGTGCTAGACAGGTATTTGTGTTTCAAACCCCTTTTTTTCGAAAGGGTAGTCTTCGGAAATAAGAGCAATGAGCTCCGTTAGGAAGGATAGTCAACGGGAATAAGAGCACTGAGCTCCGTTCTGCGAAGGGCGACTACTCTGATCATCCGTGGAGTTACTAGCTGGTGTTAATTCCGCGCTCTACAGCTCTCTTCAATCACGCTTCCCACTACCTAGCGACTATTGATTGAATTATTCTCTGCAGCAAGGTTATCATCACTTGTTTCTATTACAAGCTCTGCTCAGTTGGAAGGGTTTTTTTTTTTTTTCTGAAGGCAGTATTGGCTTCCTGCTTTCGATGTTGTGTAAAGAATTGGTTGTGCTTCTCTTCGGACACCTCGTTTGCCCGCTCCTTGTGAAGGCAGGGAGCTTCTATATAAAAAGGGAAAGAGTTGTGAGTTAATCCGTGAGACGTAAGCTGATCAGCGGACTGTTGAAGGGAACGGCACAAACAGAGTTTGATCGTAGGGGCTGATCAAGAAACTAGACTCTGAGTAAGCAGTGTAATTGTGGAAAACAATTAATTCTGCCGGTATTCTCTTATTTGAAGTTATTTCCCCTTTTACGTACTACGTTGACATATTCAGGGTGGAAACACTCTTGTGACAACGGGTCGACTGACTGGAGATTTTTCGAAGCCGGAAGCAAGTTACACTTATATCTCACAATCTGAAATTGCCCGTGTGCAAAGTTCACTCTGTGACCTCTCGGTTACAACCAATTAATCCGAGCGTATTTACGAAAACAACCATTAGACTCAGGCTGTTTTATTATTTATACTTCCACTGAGCAAAGTTTAGATATGCCCCTGCAAATCTAAGATTCTGCAGGTAAGACCCCAAGAGGGAGTTTCAGCCCGGATCTCAGATCTGCGGGTCAGATCTGCTTATTTTATTTTTGTTAATTTTCTTTTAATATTTCAGTATGAGGTAAAGGGCTGCTGGACCAGCCTTCAAGTGGGGTCGTGGCAGGCAATCCAACTCCACTTCCCTGTTACGCCACTGAGGACCTCGGAAGCGGGCGCAGCGAGTGACAGATGCTGTAGCCCTTGGCCTCAGTAATTGACAGGTAATAACCTCTCTGGGTTTCCTCACACCGGTACTAAGTCCCAATTTCCCCTATACATAGACCCGATCCGTAGGAGTTTCTAGTAGTTACCTTTGAACAGGCCATAGACTAGGGTCTGTATAAGTCTGTACGCGTCAGTAGCAAGATACTCGACATGCGTCACCCCTGCGTAAGTTGCAGCTCAGTCCGCGGAAAGCCTTATGACATGCCAAATCATTGCCAGCCGTGACCATGGCTGCCAGGGCTGACATCACAAGTCCAGTTTTGGTAACTGCAAAATTACAAAAGTCTCTTTCTCTACGAACGAGCCTAGACCAGTTGGTACACTCATGAAATGTTGAAATACAGACCCGAGTTCGAGTCCATATGTAACCACATGAACAGGAAAAACATAGTTCTTAACTACCTGGGGCTGGTCACTTCACTATGATGATATCTCAAGGCCGTCACCCCTTCCATTTTTGTCTTTTTGTTTTCCTCTCTCTCTCTCTCCCCCCTCCTCTCCCTCTCTTTCCCCTC